TGCTGAGACAATTTGAGCCAGGCTAATAGAGTTCGGACAAGGCATAGCTGAGGACACTGGTCGTCGCGATAGATAGTGAGCACGATCGGTTCCTTCTTATCGGTTTTGCCGCTAATAGTAACGGCAAGCATGGTGACAGCGCCAAATCCATCCACCGACGTTAACCTTCGCAGGAACTGGCTGGACGTGAAGCCAACACCTTCGTCCGCACGCAGGAAGAGGCGTATGTGGAATAGTATCATGGTCCACAGTTTCCAGCCAATTAGATCGTTAGTCGCCAAAAGGTACGTACGAATGTTCACCAGCTCCAGCGGATTACACATCGACTCGGGGCTCGGGACGTAACCGGCCAAGTTGCGTTTCTTGATGCGGCTCATGCAGTTTATATAGTCCTGCGCGAATCGCGCGTTGCCCAAGCGCGACAAACGACCTCTACCAGCATGGTGTCGACATCCGGATACAGAACCTTTAGTTTTGAAGATGTCTTGGCAGCGCGAGCACGATTCTTCGTAGGCCACTTGGTCCATGTCCTTTGCCTTGTGCGCGGCGGACACGGCGGCACTAAATTGGACCATATTTTGTGGATCTTTCCACTGGCCATCACACAACACTTGTCCACCATCGACGTTCAGAACTGGGGAAGTGTCATCGAAGTAGAGTAGCGACCCCACAAGGCCAGTTTTGAACTTCAAGTAAGCGCATAAGCTCTTCACAGACATTGCTGGGACATGATGTGGAGAGTCTAAGCGAAGGATTAAGAGGGACGTATAGTCCCCAATAAGTCCAAGTCCAAGTCCAAAGAAATAACGTAGCCCTTTGTAGTGCTTGTCATACCCTCTTTCCGAGTGCGGCTCGAGGACCCAACTTCGGTAAACACGCTGCTCGTTTGGAGCTAGTAACAAGTCGTGTTCTTTCAACGCTGCCAACATTCCGGCTTCTGCACTTGCCAATTGCGCTGATTGAAAGCACACGGGGGACAACAGATGACAGGCGACGCGGCGGTCTCGTCGCAAGCTTGAGAGCAATGTCGTCGAAGGATGGTGTGTCGTTCATAGGGGAAAACGTCAAGTGACCTCGTGACCAATAACAACTACATCCAATCAGACAACGCAATCAAAAGGGTAGCCAATGAAATCATGTTATAGATTTTGTCCAATGAACATCTACCAAAAACATAATATCCTATCCTGACGCAAGAAATACCCGATTACATTTCATTGGCTAAAAGTCCAGACATTGTTTAGCTGATCCTTAACGGGGCGCCAATGTCCACTCCAGGTGCCCTCCTGCAGTCAATACGACACCAATTGCGACACTTCTTTAGCCTAGACATATCTATATCCTCTAAGCAATAACATAGACTCGGTCTAAGTACTCTATTACTGAAGCCCAACACACAGTTTCCCCCAGAACCCTGCACAACCACTCGACATGTTTCAGACCGAAATTGACCAACTTATCCTGCATATAAACTAATGAGACTTGATCTAGAGTATTCACATAAGCACGTAGATATGGAAAACGCTCAAGCAATCCAAAATCCGCCAAGCCTACGCCCAGGAATGGCCAAATATATTATCTCTAGTGTTCTGCGATTTTAAATAGTGTCGACACATGATTGTAGTGTGGTGGGCTTCGTAGTATTTTACTGTTAAAATATTGTGGTTGACGTGTGGATGACATGTGAATGAAAGGCTTATTCTATTGGATGACGTTCGATAAGTTCCATGCTTTATGTATTTTTCTCTAATACTCCGGAGTAATAAGTGTTGTCAACTAACGGTAACCGCATCGTACTTACGTGTGAAATACGTTCGTTGAAGACACCAAACGTGGCTACGTTAGTGGTGTATCACGAAAGTTATAAGCATGAGGTTATCATCTAAATTCCGACACGGCACGTGAACAAAAAATGGGTGGTGTCTATTGTGGATTTGGTACAAATTTCCAGACCCCGTCGAATCGAATCTCGCCGCCTAATCTAATCCCGAATCGACGCTATTGCCTAATCCAATTTTGAGTGGATTTAATTGGCTTTTATAGAAAGGACAAATATATTCAAGAATCAGAACTCCAGCGTGATTTACTGGTAATATTAGACAAATCACGCGAATTCTGGAAGTCTATAGAGAATTTTACAATATAACATTAAACTCATTCTATCCAGGGACGGTGTATAGTTAGTTACAGGTTGCGCGTTTTGAATTCTTGGTACTCGGCCTCACGAGTAATGGGATTGGCCTTGAGCGTCGCTGCTGTGATACGGTGCGATCTGAAGGCCGCTCCATCTTCCTCTGATCGCAAGTCCATTTGAGATCGCTTCTCCTTGTTGAATGCCACGTCTGGGCTCCCCGTCACATAGCGAATGCCTTCAAAGGTGACCATGGAGCCGGCAAATGCCATGATGCCAATGATGGGGTACGTCGCAGGGTCCGAAAACCAAGTCTTGTATGCGGACCGGGCGGCGCGGGTCGAGGGGGGGCATTGTAGTGAGTTCTGGGGGATTGAAAAGTGAACGATGCCTTTTTTGGTGAACGTTATCGTTTGTTTATACTGTTATTTGTACTGCAAAAATAATCCTCAAAGCAAAGAGACGCAAAATGCGTGCAAAAGACAAGCGAATTGAGGGTTGGGATTGGCCCGAGTTTCCATATGGGAAAAGATACGCATCCAATCATACCTTGAGGATTCGATCACCAGGGTAAAAATATTCATAAATGAATTTGACTCATTTATGGAAGAGGTACGTCATTTAACGTCATGTACCGGTACTATTATTTATAATAGTGGAGTATTATTGATTTGGTACAACTTCCGGACTCCGTCCAATCGAATCGTACTGTCAAGTTGTGCATTCTGCCAACCCTCTGTCTCCTCTCTTTCACTCACGTCTGCTCTAGTCTATCCGTCTCAGTCTCCTACCCATCATGGGCGCATAAAACACTCACAAAACGGACAGTGACTCTCAAGATCTGGCCTATCACAACCCACCACGTTGTACATCTATCCAATCACATCTCATCACGTCCCCGAATATAGACCAGTAGTTAAACGGGCTTTGAACTCCCACCTCTAATCTCACTTCTGGTTTTACCGCCTCTTACACAAGTGATCTGTTCCGTTGCTTGAAAACCCCGGAACACCTGCGCCAGTGCTTCTTTCTTCTCTGCCATCCGTCTACTCGTTCAGTCTCTTCACTCGTACGACCAAACTGATCACGAATCGCTCCCATTTATCATTCTCAAATTACTATTCACTGATTGGCTTTTACTGTTAACTTCGCGCTTACTGTGGAATAGGGAAAGCCAATCAAATACCGCGGCGAGATTTGTGATCGGTTTTACGAATCACGCAGAATTGGGAAATATGTAGAAAATTCATAATAATATCCTTAACAGTAAACAGCTTTTTTCACTTCGAATTTTTTGCCTTTGATTCCATTTACTCAGAATCTTTTCCTACAAATTGTTGTGAACTTTTGAAGTGAAAATGGGGGATAAAAGTACGTGCTGCGAGCTGAAGCCATGCAGTCAGTACAGGTACAGTCCGTTGTCGACATGAACATCATAGCAACGTTATAACGTTAATCACTTCTTCCATGCTTCCCGGGATTGACTGACGCGAGCTGGGGGCGATGAGATTATATGATCATCTTCGACATGGCTTTGCGAAGGTTCTGGAACACTCGAGACCAGCGATCGTGTTTATGAAAAATCCAAAGACATGTTCGCATCCTACCTCAGTACCGCTTTCCACCTACATATGGCAACCCATCATGAAGCAAGTCACCCCGTACGTGGGACGTCCCATCCGGTGAACCACATCCACAATCCAAGGACAGCAGCCGCTGGCGCCATCCAACTTGCGTTGTGCCCAGGCTGTTTGAAGGTTGGGTTGTGGTCCTACGAGCGCAAGTCTACCAGGCAGATGACTCGATGTCGTAACGTGGGATCGTTTTCCACGCGACAGCTCCAAGAAAAAAGTGTGTGTGAAGCTAGCCGCCAGCCAGCCTTGAAACGGCAACGGACGCAACCAATGTGGTCGCCCAACACGGACTCGACCGAGGACGAGCTCACGTCCGACAGCGATAGTGACTCCGACTCGACCGAAGTGGCAGAACGATGGAAGGGGAAGGTCGATGCTTTGCATGCGCCATATGCGAGCGCCACTTAAATGAACACCATTATTATTATTCTGAAGCACAACTACATATTAATATACACTGTACTACTACGTAGTACTACATAGTAATAGAATGTCCAAACGTGTCAGTGATTTGGGACGGAGTGGTATTAAATACTACGTAGTAGTTGTGATTAGTGGTAGGTACTACGGTAGTACAGTATCGAGAGTATGTAGTGGTACTGTAGGTCACGGTACAGTACTGGTTGGAATTTCTCGCAATGCGTTGCCTCACAGTCAGTAAAGTCTGTATAGCATCTCAGGGAGCCAGCTCGTGCGACGGCGCCGTAGTCGACATGATTTCGCCCAACTCCATCATACTCAAGAAGAGGCTCCCATGGGGTTAACTGTAAAACTGATGAAGTATTTGTACTTCGACGCCCCTTTGTCCTCACTTTGAAACTATGCTTGTCTCGAACATTGTCCGACACTGTTTTGTGGCACTGGTCGCGGCCGCCATCGCCGCCACGGCCACGATCTGCATCGAAGCACATTCCAACTTTGAAATTGCCAACAGCACCAACATCGTGGTCAAGTTTCACTGTAACTAGGGCCTCAACAGCCACCGCCGTCAACTCAAGAGGCAAATCCATCTCGCTCGGAAACTATCACGTACATCGTAGAGGTGTTAATGGAGCACTCCATCGTCGTCTAATCGTCGATGCTGTCTCGCTTTTGTCCTCCCACGTCGAATCATGGTATAAAAAAGGTCGTCAGTACACTGGATCGACTGCTCCATGTGCATTGACAACGGCACGAAGGTAATGGAGATTTCCTCCCTGGCAAAAGTCGAATTCGTTGTGATCCCCGTCGAAATCAAGCCTGAACAATCATTGCCACCAACCCTGAACACGAACCCAAACAGCAACGACCAACCAATGGGGCGTCGCCTTGATTCAAGCCCTCGCGCTTTGGGCCAAACGCATCAAGGGCGACAGCGTGCGATACACCCACGAAGCGTTAAAGTCGAATTGGCCAAGTGAATACGGACTCATCTCCCGGATAGTTCGACCTGTGCGACAAGACGGACAGTTTTGGGAATGGTGGTCGGCACAACTCAAGGCAGGGGGTGGCCCCAATCGCCAAGTGGTTTGCCTGCAAGGACTACACAGACTGGTGCTACCAGTACGAACTCATGCAAGATCGCGCAATTCATCCAGTGTCCCCGCGACAAAGACGATAAGAATCCCGACTGCAGCTAGGCACCGCATGTGATCAACAACAGCTGGGGAATGTATCGAGGGGCTCAAAACTGGATGGAACAGGGGTTGGAGTATGGCGCACCGCCAACTTCGTTCTCGTCATTTGCGACAGTAATGACGGGATAAGGGCTGCAGATACACGTGGTGGTGCCCCGTGTCGTCCCCCCTTGTGATTGGTGCGGGGGCGGCGGTCGATGGCTCGGATAAGTTGGCTTCCTTTTCAAGCTTTGGTCCGTCCACGGATATTGCACAAAGTCCGACATTTCCGCCCCTGGGGACTGGGTGCAGTCGGCGTCTAACTTCGATGACACCTGCGTCGTGGGCATGTCTAGCACAAGGATGGCATCCCCCCACATTCCTGGCGCCATGTCGCTGCATGTGTGGGCCACAAACTCGCCACGTACGATCAAGTGTACGCTCACTTCCTTCACCAACAACGTGGGTACTGCGACGTTGGGGCTGCCAACTACACTAAATACTGCGGATACATTCCCAACACCGAATTCCCTAATAACGCCGTGGACTTTGGTTGTATCAACGTTCTGAAAGCAGTTACCGCACCCACGAGCTGCCCCCGTTCGACGCGCCCATCCCCTCCGGCCAAATGCTCCACCTGGACAGATGAGTATCAGTACAAGCCAGGCTCCAAGTCCGCCTGAGTACTCAACCCGACCGCCCCCAATCACTTACAGCACCTTGGAGGACAACACGGACTATTCTGGCAACCACTTGGCTTCGACGAAGCAAACGGTTGCTGAATCGGGCTACTGTGCCGACAGTGAAAAGACATCGGGTTGCAAGCTGTTGGTGAGGTCGAACCGCGAAGGCGGCATGTGCTGGCTCAGGCACATCCAAAGATGACTGGGCGCACCTACATATCTTTGTATTCGAAGCTACAGTGCGCGCCATGTACTTCAAGCCACCCAGTTTTTGGCAGTTAAAATCCCGCCAATTAGAGTTCACGATTACCTGTTTGGCTCACTTGATGCAGCTTGATTGGCGGGATTTTCTGGTATAATGTGGTGTCCTCTGCAGTTCAATCAACCAATTTGCCGCCAAAATTGTACTTTTGCCCCGCGACAAGTACTTAAAGCCACTTCCAAACTTCCGCTCTATTGAACGGCACACACGACGTAACGTTAAAAGCTTCTGTCAACTTCTAAGTAAGACTACTCTGAATGCCATGTAACCACTAACAACCTTTACAGCATGGCAAAAGAAGCTCAACTCACCGACGAAGAGAAAGGGTCCATTGCGGCCTTTCACTTGGTCGGAATGTCCAACCGCGCCATCGCCAAGACCATGGGAAGGTCCAAGGATGTAGTACGCAACTACATCTTGGACCCTCAAGGCTACAGTACTTAAAACAGCCTTCTACGGCCGAAGTTACTGTTTGTACTTTACTTGGAGTATAAGACACCAGGGTTGGGTGCTGGAGTACTGTTAGCCAATGTGATCGACTTCTTGGACTCCACGAGAAGCCCCAGTTGTTGCCTTGAGTGTATTCGTGCGGTGGCATCACACATCGCTTCCATTTCCATACTATTACTGTATACTACAGTAGTTATAATGTTCATGTGAGTTGTTTTCTCAAATGTCGAAGAAATGAAGAAATGATTGGCTGAAAATAAACAACTACAAGAATGCTTGACCAATCAAAACCGCGGAAGAATCCGCGCTCAACTTTGATAATTACCATGGCAGGAAGAACACCCAACACGACAGCCGAGCTGACCGACGAAGGACTCATTGCGAACGACCGCGTGGTGCTTGACTTTGCGAGCGCCAACGAGGAAGTTGAAGAAGAGGACGAGGCAGAAGAAGGCGGTGAACGACCGGCGAAACGCCAACGTCAGGAGAAGGACACGACCAAGGCAGTGGAGGTACCGCTCAAAGCGACATTCGACCGCGTGGACAAGATCAACAACACCATCATGCGAGTCACAGGGAACGACGACAGTGGCTTTTGCATGTTCAACACGTCGTCGTCGTACCCCATGATGATGGTGTACAAGAAAGAAATTGCCGCGTCGCGCAAGCTCCTGAAGGCCAAGAAACCTCAAGATGCGTTTTGTATCGCCATGGCGGCGTATTTGAGCATGCAGGATTACGACGTATGGTACCACGACACGGAAGACCCTCGTACCGTGGAGCTGTTGTTTACGGCGTACTACAAGCTGTGGAACGACATCTTCAAGTCTGACGACACCACGCTTGGACTCAAAGGACGCGAGGCGTTGATCCATGAGCTGAGCAAGTTTGGCAATGGCGCCAAGGATGACCTTGAGTACAACTTTCCATGGTTTTTCAAGGCGTAGTTTAGTATTCGTGATTGATCATAACCAGCTACTATAACATAACATTGTAAATACACTTGCACCTCATCGTGAGTTTGACGATCATTTTGGAGCTCGAACGATGTCTCCATAGCTTTTGACTTTAACATGGAATTGTTAAAGAGTTGTGAAATAGTGTAAGCTACGGCCTTGGT